CGTATGTGTTTCAAAATGTCTTTTAAATTACTAACAACAAATATGAAAGACTAAGTGCAACGTTGTAACAAATTTCATTTCTGTCCAAGTTAAGAATGATATGACTCATCGAAAACTGCGCGAACGAACATAAACAGTGGCGTAATCGTCCGTTATCGACCGACTCCAGACCGATTTTGAATTTGTAAACTGTCATTGCAATAGACAGTTGACATTGTGCTCTGGAGGAAACAATTTGTATCACTCTTGCTACGGATATAATTTGTAATCTGGAATTTTTTGCATACCTTTTTAATATGTATTTAATTGCGGCTCGCGAAAAATTTCAAATTTTGAAAAATGGCTCCGACTATCAAGGAGTTTGGCCACCCTGGATATATACTATATAGTATATACTATATATAATTATATATACTATACTAATATATATTATATATTATAATATTTATATATATTATATATATTATGCGATTATATAATATAGAGTATATATAATATTAATAATAGACTAATATGTTAAGGACTATAAATTTTCAACTGTTATAAACTTAATTTATGTAAACTCATTAATTTAGAATCAAATTTTCACTTCCTGGAATTCAATAATATTAAAAGTGCCCTCATTTTTAACATACAAATTTATTTTTATTGTGTTTTTAAAATGATCGGTTTTTAGACTTCGATTGGTATTGAGCATATTCCCAATTATAAAATAAATTTTTTTCCGTTGTTCATATTATTTTCTTTAAAAATTAATTAAAATTTATTTTAGCTTAGTAACTCGCTTCCAACAAATATAGCTCAGGTATAAAACTTATTTTAAAGTAAATGTTTTTATTTAAATTAAGACCAAGTCAATTATATGGATAAAAAATTAGAATGTTGACTAGCGTAAAAGACTAAATAAATAACCAACCAAAAATCAAACACTTTACGATCTGATTTTTTTGAGCCTGTCCTTATAAATTAGTTTTAAAAATATAACTGACTATTAAGGTGTCGGTTATATTTTTAAGAGACAGAATCTAAACTGGGCGAACAACTCCAGGTATTTTTTATGGGTGGTCTGTCCAGATATGTCGGGTCAAGCTTGTTCTCGCTACCCAACCGCCTCACTATGATCTAGCCGAATCCGCGATAGACTTGCTAAAGAGGTATTCTCAATTCCCACAAAACAGAATTAATTTTGAAAAATTCAGCAACGAGTTGCATAACGTATTAATGAAGCCGGGAAAGATATGCAACGTGCTCTTTTGTCACATTCCATTTGCTGAAGTGCCTACCAATGGCCGAGTGGATAAAATTTCTGAACATTGGTAGTTGGTCGTAGGTTCTAAATGTTCTATAAACTTTAAAATGTTTTGTAGGTAAATTTTCGTTCAAATCGATTCGTGTTTTATACAAATTTACAAAATAAACAGTCTTAACAAAGCAACATTTTTTATTTTATGAAGTTCAATTTTCACTTACTTTAATTTTTGTAAGTCAANATTTAATAAATTAATAATAAATATATTTGAAAATTTTATAAATTTTTATAATAATAATAAATAACAATATTTACACAATAACAACAACAATTGAGTCTTTGGACAAGAATAAAATTACAGAAATTTAGGATTTCAACTGGCCAAGGTCACATAGAATATAAACAAAGGAATATAACAATAGCTTAAACAGTAATAATAACAGACCTGAATGCAAAATCTTGAATTATGGATCTAAACATTAAAATAACAGTTAATACATGTGTCAACTCAATACACACACATTTTTGGAGTTCTGTGTTGAACACAGGTTTAATGCACAATATTCAGTTTTTTTTTTTTTAAATGAACAACATTAATAAAACATAAATAAGAAAACTTCAAAATTCATTCCAGAATGTCCCTCAGATGCGACTGAGGACAATATATATATATATAATATAATATAATATAATATACAGTAAACAATATTACAAGTTTAAATTATATGGAAATTATAAAATATTGCTTATGTCGTTATATGACCGTGGATCGTGATATTTCGTAATCTATTCTGAAACAATTGATTTGGATTAGCCTCTTCGAAGACAAGAGCTCAAAATGACTGTAAAATTAATCGGCTTTGTTTACTATAAGCGAACTTATTTCTAAATATTGTCGATCAATGTAGATAAAGAATAAAAATTAATTCGTCGGGATAGAAAAACCACATGAATCCGGATTTACGGATTTCGTGTAACAAGTAAAAAATCCCTTACTGCAGGCCTTCTGGCAATTGGAAAGTTAATACTTGCGATATTACAATAAGACGCGAAACATATACATTTCATATTTAATTTGATGATTCATTATAAATTAAAATGTTGTTTGCATGAAATATTCCGTTTTTTTTTTTTTTTCTTTTTCATATAGAAGTTTTTCGGTTAGCGATAAATTCTGGAGTTTGATTGAATATTGTTAACATTATATAAGAAAGATGTCCAAAAAATTTGGACATCTTTCTTATATAATGTTCTATAAATATAAATTCTTATAAAATAGACGTTTAAAGTATTTAGTATTACAGAAATTGCGAAAATCAAATTAACGGATTTTTAATTGTAATGAATCAATGAAACAGGATATTGAAATCTTGTTCAAAATATAAATGTGAGAATACGGACGAGGGGTCAAGGCCCTCTAATCGTCGGATCTGAGGGATCCGCTCACTTTGTAACTGGATGGCCTAATCTTAAATGAATTCGAGTGGAAGGTTGTGGGATTGTGCAAGGTCGGCAATTAAATGAAGATATACTAAGGAAGCCACTAATAAATGCAAAATCAACAATTTAATAAAATAAAACAAAAATATATAAAATACAATAATTATATGGATACAATAGACCTATGTTCCCTATTCACCAAGAGAGAGAGTTTACAATCAAATCATATTATCTCGTTGGACATTTTCTTTCTGAGAGAGTATGTTGAATAGAGGAGCAGGATGTTCGCAGGATGTCGGAGGAGTAGCAGGAGTAGCACAGGACAAAAAGGTCGAGAACTCCTTGTCGGACCCGGAATCTTCGGAACTAGTTTAATTTTCGGAAGTATCTGGAGATTCAAGAGGCGTTGTAGGTTCCCTAGATGGAGGGTTCTCCATCGACCAGATACTAGGAGCAACAGGATTAATGTGGGGTCGGGGCTCTTCTAGGGCTTCTACTTGCTGTAGGTATCCTGCCCATTTGATCCAATCTTGTTGACTCTTTATTCTTTCTTTTAAGTTGTGGGGCACTTGACAATTCCACGGGATAACAGGCATGGTTAATCTGGTAGGCACATCGGATCTGGTATATGTCTTAATGCCCCGGACCATTTTACGATAGGCTGCGGAGGCACAAGCTTCTGTTATTTCAAGTGGAGATTCGGGTATCTGATGTGGTTCAACTATAGTAGCAATGGGTACCAACTGATCAGTAGGGGGGTTCGGATGACCCCTAAAAGATAGGCTATATATATGTAAATGGAACATTTCATAAGTGAGAATTATTGTTCAACACAAGAATTTGCATCAGACAAATCAATTGGTGCTTAAAATTAGAGAAGAGTTATCTACTCTGGAAAATAATTAGGAAGTGTGTTTAAGGTTAATAAAATCTGCAATCTCTATGGAAAAGAGACACAAAAATTATCCGGGGCTAAATCGTATGCCACTTATAAGGTCGACCAGTTGAAAGAAGGAAGAAAACGAAATTACATTACAGATAACTGATTCGAAGTCATATTTTTCGTGGCTAATAATCGATGCTGCTGGAAAGAAAGAATACCCGGGTAAACGATTCTTAGTTAGAGGCATAGTGATGCCAACAGACAAATTACGAGAACATACATTTAGAAGGATAGGGAGAATTGTAAACCCAGAAGTAACTACGCCATGTGAGGTATAATCGGGAAGGATATTATAGAGGGAGAATGGAAATAGAGGACGTAAATTTACACACACATGTCGGATTGTACGATCAGAGATAACTGCCCCTTATTCGGGAATAATTGGTCGAGACATATTAGAGCAAGAGAAAATAGAAATAGATGACCAACATAATTGAATCACTTTGTCCAATCGAAAGAAGGTCATGAACGAATAGTTTGCCAAATGGAGAGAACATACACTTTTGTTCTCCAACTCCAATAGAAAGGAATTTACCGTACATTATAGACTGTCAATAGATTTAATATTATCTAATGGAATGGGAGGTACTGTACCCGAGGAAGCCATTCCTGAGATAGAAGATACTTTGACTAAGGATATTTCTAAAATTGATAAATAACCTCATGAAATTTCCCACAGTTTTTGCCACATGGGAGTTCTCGACCCTTTGTAAGGAGCTGGAAATTCAGGGTGATGAGGATCTACTGGTAGCTGGAGATATAAATCTGGGTATTCGACTACGACTACGTTGAGGACAAGGCATCACCCAGGGTTGATCCGCGACAGGTCGTTGACTCCTAAGAGCATAGGGTGGTGTGGCTTCTTCCACTTCCCCTGTTTGTTCTCCCTGATCTGAGAGTTCTGTCTCTATCTCCACTGGGATTCCAGAATTTTTACCGGAAGTCGTATGTTCTTTCTTCATATTATTTTTTTGGAAATTATTAATTTTAGAAGTTATTATACTCAGTGATGTCTATTGAAGAATTTCTGGAGGAATCTGAGGAAGCCATTGAGGATTTAAAGAGATATTTCCGTAATAACCCAAAAGGGCGATTGGGTACCGAGGAACATATTAGATTTATTACAGATAAATTTATTACCTTAGTGAAGAGCGCCGAAGAGGTAATTAGGAAAAATTCCATATCAGATTTCCTGCTTCAGAAATTTGATTTGTTGGCAACGAAAGAGGATGTCAAACAGCTGCTTGTTGCTCAGAGTGACAAAAATTTAGAGGCTATTCAGGAAGTGAAACAGACTATTTGTGACTTAGAAAAACCTCCACTTTTAGGGGTGGAAGGTTCTCAAGGGACTACTGCTCTGTCATATAGAGATATTTTACAACGCGATCTTAATTCTTTGAAGAATACACAGTCTGAAAAGGAGTCCTCGTTACCAACATACACTGTTCTAGTTTACAATGATAATAAAGAGAGCACATCGGAAGAGACTAAGACACTGCTCACTAATTCTTTTGATCAAAGACTGCATAAGGTGCCTGTCAAGCGTATTCGTAAGATTAACAAGGGTGGAATTGCTGTTGATTTTCCTATCAGAGAGGAGGCTGAATACTTTCAGGAACAATTAGACAAAATAGAAGGATTAAAGGCACGAAACGCAAGACGGCGTCTTCCTCTTATGAAAGTGACTTCAGTCCCGAACTCAGTTACCAAAGAGGACCTACTAGAATACCTGCTTGAACAGAATATTTTTTCACAGAAGTACACGATGGAGGAGTTTAAAAAGGTTTTAAACATTCGATTTTCAATCAAACAGAGAAATGACGAGTTTTTATCGTGGGTATTAGAGATGTCACCGGAGGTTAGGGCAATGACTAAAAAACAAGGATATTTTTATGTTCAGTGGAAAACGTGCAAGGTTTATGATTTTTTCCCTGTACGACAGTGCTACAAATGTCTTGCTTTTGGACATTTGGCGGCAAGTTGCCCATCACCGAAGAAAGTTTGTAGCCATTGTGGTGATGATCATTTGTTTAAGACATGTACAAAGAAAAGTGAAAAGCCTAAATGTGCTAATTGTTTGAGGAGTGGCCTAGATAAACATGAACATAACACACTGGATAAGGAGTGTCCACTCTACATTAAAGCAAAAGCCTTATATATTAAGACAGCTGACTACTTACCTTAATAATTATGGAATCCTTTACAGGACACAAATTGTTTAATTCATAGTGCTACCTCTGCTCCTTAGCACAACAACTAATACAAGCAGATCATCACTTCTCTATATACATTTGTGTTTGCTGACTGTAAGAAATATGTAAGCTTCATCATCTTTCTCTGTTTTTGGGTTTAAAGTGTTGGAATTGATACTTACAATTACTAGCTGTGTGGACTTTTTTTTTTTTTTTTTTTACTTGTACGCATATTATATATGGACTCATGGGATTCTCAAATCTTTGTCTTACAAATTTTCTGCACGGGATAAATTCTGTTAAACACTTTGTCAGAATTATTGTATTTACTGCGACCTTCATTTGCGAAAATATTCCTGCAGATAAGTAATCTGTTATATGCTGCAGCAAGCTGCTGCATATTTTATTCGGGTCTTTTATTGTCATTGTGTTTTTATTTTTATTTATTTATTTATTTTTTAATTTTTCTTTTCACTTTGCTTTGTTCATTAGTGCATACTGTAACTCGGTGGAACTATGTAACGGATATGTTCCTGTAATGCTCACTGCGGGGCAGGACTTTGTACCTTGTTTTAAATGTACAATTAAACTAATGAATGAATGAATGAATCTATCTCCACTTATCCTTTCGAATTAACTACTAGCCCAGCAACCATAGCTTATGATATCGCGGATAATTTTGCTTCAGAATTAAAACTGAGAATGAAAGAGGCACACCAAACGGCACAGGAATACTCAGAACAAGCTGCAAAAACTAGACAGGAAAGACACGGGAAACAGAATAAACCACCTCGTTATCAAGTAGGTGACAGAGTTTTACTAAAGGAAGTAGTATTTCCACAAGGAATAAAAACAAAATTAGCAACTCGATGGTCAGGACCTTATAGAATAATTGCTATTCTGAGCCCCGTCAATTATGAGATAGAGAATATTAAGTCAAAAAGAAAAATGCATGTTCATGCTAGTCGAATAAAACCAGCTACTGCCCGCAAGGAAATCAAACTGCCTACAGAACAATCAGAACTCACCTTACCAAAGGAAGTTTTATCCACCGATCAACCAAAGGACCAAGAAGAACAAGTAATTATAGATCCCTGGGATGAACTTATTTTAAATGCATCCCTAGTCCCACATCCACAAACTACCTCTGAGCAGGAAGAGGAAGACGAAAGTGACGTGGAGATAGTGTGATAACCGCCGGCGAATTGAAGTGTTATTATTTCCGTTTTTTTTTCGCGAACGAAAAAATGATTAACAAACACTTTCTTGTTAATTTACAAACTATTCTTTAATTCGCTATATGTTATCAGGTTCTTTGTACATGGTCCCAACATGTAGGCGGTGAGGATACAAAATTCGAGATACAAAAAACAACTCGATTTTTCTTTCTTATATTTGTGCCTATATCTATACTTAATCTACTTACAAACTATAAGAAGGAAAGAGAGGGAGAATGTAAGGATAGAATAAGCGGAAGATGGAAATACTCGGGTGTTTACTCTGGATGCTCCGTGATATTGGGCGGGGTTATTGTCGTTTCTGTCATCTACTCCTATCGTGGAGGCTTTCCTTGGTTCTTTCTTCTCCTTTAACGGATCTCTCCCGTTCTCCTCGTCTATAATCCACCTTCTTCAATATTGTCGGTGTTGAGTCCGTCCAATAAAATTGGCAGTCCAGCAGGAAGTTCTTGACCTCCTTTAACGGGCTGGATAGCTTCTTCTCCTCGACCTCCCTCGTCGAGTTTCACTTTTCTTCTCTCATTTTACAACGTTGTTATTGACATCTTTTTATTTTACAACGTTGTTTTTGACATCACTCCCCGCTAGTAAAATAATTAAGAAATTAAGTCCTTTTTTTTGTCAACAGGAAAGGGATAGAAACAAAGAAAACCTTAAGCCTAACATACATTTATAAAATTATTAATTATAAAATACAATAATATGACCAATGGCCACAATAGAAAAAAATCAATCAATCAATCATTTTTAATTGTACAAAGTACAGACCGGCCCCGTTGTTCATGCATTACCGGTTATACACATTCAGTTCACAATACACAGGAGAAATGAAGTACACTTGCATAAATGATGGATGTGAATATACATACATACAAATACATACATAAAGTAAATGTAAATATGATAAATAAATTAAATAAATAAATCAATGCATACAAAGGTAATAATTACATCCAGTATAACAATTATCTGATATACGGCCACAATAGAGACAGAACTCTCAGATCAGGGAGAACAAACAGGGGAAGTGGAAGAAGCCACACCATCCTATGCTCTTAGGAGTCAAGGACCTGTCGCGGATCAGCCCTGGGTGATGCCTTGTCCTCAAAGTAGTCGTAGTTGCAATGGCGTACCGTGGGTGTCAGCCGCTCGGGGCGGAGGAAAATTTCGCCCCCTTATTATTTAGGTATTTCAATTTAAAAGACCAAAATTCAATTTTGTCACAGCAATGAAAAATTCGGTGGTAGTGCAGCGACCTGTTTAAAATAGTTCTATTGGATATTAGTGGTGTATATGAACGCGAATGAATCGTACAAGCAAAACAAAAAAAAAGGTCAACAGGTTTCGCAGGATTTCCTCGGATGAAAAAATTACTACCGTGTTTCCCCGAAAATAAGACATCCGCAGAAAATAAGACCTAGCACAGATTTTGCTGAATTGCGAAATATAAGACCTCCCCTGAAAGTAAGACCTAGCGAAGTTTTTTTTTAGTCGTAACGGTCATCGTTAGATGGTTGAAAGTGGCCGTTGGCTTTTTGAAAGTACAGCCACTGATTGGTCAGCAGACAATTACGCCACACGGCATGATTTGCATAAGACTATGGCTTGGGATTCACAGATTTGCATAACGTTACGGCTGGTGATGGCTAATTGGTCGGCC